GGTTATAAACTCTAGAACAACGCTTTTTATTTCCCCTGCGCTCCGTGTTTGACGGCGTTTTGTCCCCATCCCCGCTGAGGACAACGAGGCTTTTCCGTGACTAAACATGCTCTTACCGGAATCGCTTTAAAGCACATTTTACCGGATATTAAGAGCACCGGTGACTTTAGGCACCCGCACTGAAAACTCTCAGTCGGGGAGCAGAGGGGAGCCGCGGCTCCCGGTGCCACGGGGGCTCCCTGCAAGCCACCTGGCGAGCAAAGGTTGCCTCCTCCAAAACAGAGCGCGGTAAAGTGCAAATACACCCTCCCACCTTTTTTTTTTTTTTTTTTTTTTTTTTTTTTTTTTTTTTTTTTTAATTGAGGGCACGTGTTGGGCTCACCTTTCCGTGATTAAGCAATTAAGCAGTTGCAAGAGATAAATAGGAGGAACGAGAGCGTTAGCGGTAGGAGTGGGCCAGGAGTGAGGTTGAGAAGGCAGGGAAGGTTCACCTGGGAGAGTCAAGGAGAACGGTAGAGGTGAGCCGGTAAGAGCGGTTTTTTCCTCTCTTTTTTTGTGTCTTTAGCTCTTTTTGCGTCTTTGCTGAAGGTCTAGTGGTGGTGCCAGGCACTGGTCAGCTGGACCTGCAACACCGGGCTGCCCTGGAGGGCGGCAGGGCTGGTGGCTCGGGAGAAGGTGGGCTTGGAAGCAGCAAGAGGAGGAGTAGGAAGGTGAATGGTGTGGGGCAAAGCTGGCCACGGCGTGAGGTCCTCCCGCAGGAGCCCTTGGGAGAGGAAAGGTGTGGGGTGACCGTGTTCCAGCCGGGCGGTGGGTGTCTGTCCCTGCCACCATGGCATGCTTCTCGTCCCCTCTGCCTCTCCACCCTTAGGCCTACCTGTCCCCTCGTTGTCCCGTCTCTATGCAGCTGCTCCTGGGGTCAAACGTAGCCGGTAGCTCTCGCCGTGGCCGCTGTCGGTGCTGGCCGAAGGGCGATGCCCTCACCGGGACCCGCCGTGCCGCCTTCCCCTCGGCTGCGAGGGAAGCCGCCTCCGGTCTCCTCCTCTCTCCGCGGAGCTCGGGCACGGATGGCAGCGCAGCTCCCGGCTCTCTGGGGGGTGTCTGGGGTCCAAACCTGAAAGGGTAGAGGGGGTCTGAGGAGAGAGGCGGGGAGGTGTTAGGGAGGGGGTACGGACCGCACCGTCGATGGCTCGGGAAGGGCCGCAGGGACTGGCGAGAGCCCGAAGGCTCCAGCGCCCCGACGCTGGGAGCCCCCTCGGAAACCCTTCCGTAGGGGGGACCCTCGTGTATGACACGCGGGGGTGGGCTGGCACGTTCGAGGCCCGGCGGAATGGCTTTAAAATAACGCAAATAGTCTTGTAAAACGGCTTAAAGCGGGAGAAGGACAAGTCCTGCGGGCACCTGGGCATCCGTGGGGACCCGGCGGGTGGGGAAAGGCATGTGTCAATTTAGCCGTAGTGTTGACTTAAGCGAAAGTGCTAAGCCATTCCTAAACCTAAGTCAATACAGACTTAAGCCAAAATTGTTATTAACGAGCTCTAATCTGATTTAAGAGCCTCCGAGCGACCCACGTCTACACGAGGGGAGAGGAGGCGCGCTGCCTTGCGCTGCGCTCCGCGGTGCCCGATCCCGGGGGGGGGGGGGTCGGCGCAGGTGGGCGAGTGAAACCCCAGGGAGGGGGAAAGCGGGTTTCGAAGGGGCGCTGCCTCCTGGGGAGAGCCGGGGGGACTGTGATTTGGGCTGGCCGGGGATCTCCCTCTGCGGGATGGAACATCTTAAAACTGTACCCAGCTCGGTTGGCGTGGGGTCCCCTTTCCCGGGGGGCGGTGCGGGGTGAAGCCAGGCTGGGCAAACGCCTCCGGGCCCGGGGGTGGCCCGGTCCGGGGCTGGTACCGAGGTCCGGCAGCTCTGCTCGCTCATGAGAGGGACATGCCAGAGCGTTGGGGGTTTTTTTTCGTGTGTTTTTTTTTTTTTTTTTTCCCCCGTCCCAATGGGGCAGTTGAGCCCTCCACTCCACCCCCCAGTGGGGGCCTTTCTTTTCTTCCCCACCAGCTTTGAGCAGCCCTGTTTCAGATTGGCCTTTTTATGTTTGATATAAAGAATAGTTGTTGGCCAATTCCATCTTTTCATCGCTGCTCTCCAGGCCCGGGTCCAAGCGGCTTGTCAGATGCTCATTAACTCCCCCTTTGGCTCTTTCCAGTGTGTCTCCTAAGCTCATTGTGCCAAGAACTAGCGCTTCTTTCTCTTTACACGGCTCCCTTTCTCTGCTCCATCAGGGAGACAAATTACTTTCCAAAAGGGATCGCCAGGGATGGTTTAATGAGAATTTCTCTAGGGCTGGCCGTGGAAATCAATGTAGTTAACATTCGGTGCACTTAATTGGACTTTTCTCTTCTGCCTCCTTCAAAAAAACTCTGAAGCTATCCTGTTAATCTCTCATTTGTAATCAATTGTGTTGACTAAACAAAAGTCTAGGTCGTCCTTTCTTCCTGTCCCAGACAATCCTTTGTTGCCTCTAAATGCCTCATTCTTGAGTGCTCCTGGTCGTGTAGATGGGTCCGATTGTTGACAGTTCATTATTGCGCTTTTGTCCATTTAATCTCCCTCGCTGTGTTTTGCATGTGCATGCCTTAATGAGCTCCGTTGGCAATTAACATGTTTCTAGCAGCAAACTGGTTGCTCAGACGTTTGGAGAGCGGAGTGCAGGGAAAAGGGCAACGCAGCTGCCTTTGGGTTGGTCGCTTCCCGGTGCCCGGCGGGACGCACCTGGGTGCCGCCCGGTCCCGGGGAGGCTCCGGGCCGGGAGGGCCGAGGAGGGAAGCCCGGCGGCTCTGGCACGTCGCTCTGTGCTCGGGGGGCACCTCTAACCCTCCCCCCGAGGCACCGGCACCGCTCAATCTGTTGTGTGCGCGGCTGCGGCGCCGGGAGAGGGTTGGTGGGGTGGGTTTTTTGTGTGTGTGTGTGTGCGGGTTTTGTGTTATTATTGAGGCTTGCTGGCAAGAGTGCCGAAGTGTGAGCAGTCGTGGACAGCAGAAACATCTTGTGAGGGAGAAGATAATTGGAGTCTCTGGCGTGTGTGTGTCTGACAGAGCCGCCCCTCCCCCGCGATCTGCGGCTTGTGTGTGCCGAGATCCGGGTGAGATCCCGGGGAAGGGGCGGGGGGGGGCTGCCGGGGCCGGCCGGTGGCCAGCGCGCTGCGGTGGACCCTTCCCGGCGCGTCCCCGGTCGGGGGGAAGCCGGAGCGACACCGGGCCCGGGGAGGGCTACCTACAGCTCCCCAGGAGCGGCGAGGCCACCAAACCCGGCCGGCGTGGCGCTTCGGGGTGCCCCGAGGATGCCCTTAGCCGTGACGAGGGTGCCGCTCTCCCTCTCACAGACGGCTCTGTAAACAACGTCGCTTTTTATAAAAAAAAAATTAAAAAATGCGAAGAGAACGCGCTTTCTTAATTCCCTTCCCGGGAGCAGGTTTCGCACTGCTCTCGCCCATCGGGAGGGCTGGGAACGCTGTCTATGGGCTCCCGGGCACCCGGCTGCCATCTCGCACCTCTTCCCGGCGCCCGCGGTGCGGAGGAAATCCCGCTTCCCCCGGATCTGGCAGCGGGACCGGCGCCGCACGCCCCGCCGGACACGCCGCTCGCCTCCGTTCCCCGCTCCCCTCCTCTGGCACCTGCTCCTGTTGTGCCCTCCCTCTCAAAGTGTCCTTATCATGACGAGGGGGGTCCCTTCCCTCGGCCCGTGGGCCGTCCCGCCCCGTCTGTGGCAGTGGCGAGAGAGCCGGGCTCGGTTTGCATCCGCGACCCTTCCTCAAGAGCTACAGCCCCTTCGCTTGGGGGACGGTCCCAACATTTCCCAGAGCGGTGACTTACGGCGACGGGGGTTGCATTTTTTTATTATTATTATTATTTCTTTTTAACCTGAAACTCTCCCAAAAATCTTTTTAACAAATCCCGTCGCGATCTTCCCTCGCCGTCCCGATCGCTGGGCATCCTTTTCCGCACCTCACCCGGCCCAAACCATCAAAACGCTACTTCTGGAGCTTAAAAACGCACACCCCGAGAAACTCTGAAATCACTCCCGTCCTTCCAGCGGGAACACGGGGCCCGGCAGCCTCCCCCCCCACCCCCGGTCCCGGCCCCGCTCCTCGGGGAGCGCGGAGCATCGCAGCCCCACTAATGAATCCAGAAAGCCAGAGCGAGGGGTCGCCTCCCGTTCCTGCGCTCAGCGCCCGAGCTGTGCTCGTCCTCGCCTCCCACCATTTAACCACTCAATTAAGCGGGGAAAGGTGAGCTCCCCGTCACGCCGTCCCCAGGCATTTTGGTGCCTCGCTCCTTCCCCTCTTCATTGGCAAACCCGGCCCCAGCAGCACGCACACGCCCGGCCGGCTCCGTCTCCTTTCTCCGCTAGAATAATATTGTTCCTAACGACGTGGCCGGAATAGACACTCGCATATTAAAAGTGAGGGAGGGGGGGAGATGAAAAGGGAATATTTAGTGTAATCCAAGTACTTGATTATCCATATTCTGATCAAAAAGAGTTTCTGAGGCCTGCTGGGAGTGATTAGATTAATGTAATGCGGTTTGAAGGGTCTGTGTTTTCTCTCTTAATTTGGGTCATTACTCGGAAAGCAAGCGTGAGATCATTTCATCTGCATGCAGGGGAAGATAGTCATTCAGGAGCGGCTTAAACACGCCGTAATGAACCGACCCCGGAGAGCGGCGCTGGGAAACTCCGAGCCGCCCTTCGCTGCCGCCCGGGGGTCCCGCACCGGCGCTGCCCCTTTCCCGAGGGAGCCGCGGCCTTCTGAAGCCGCCCGGTTCCCTCCCGCCCTCGTTTTGTTTCCTCCTGGCCGTTCGACGGGCCCTGGAGCGGTAAGGCCCGGTTCCCCGCCGCCGGCCCGGCTCCCGAAGCTCCCGCAATCCGCCTTTTTTACACGGGGGAAGATACATTTATCTCCGTTCAGCCCGGTCCTCGCTCGGACCGGGGCCGAGGTGGGAAACGAGACACCTGCGAAGGGCCGGTTTATTGTCCCATGATAGATAGATATAGATATATATATATTCCTCACTTATTCGAGCGTACATTTAAAATGGAGATTTACAGACACGTATAAAGAGCGCTGTCCTGGCGGGGGGGCGGCCAACCCGGCCCCTCCTGGCCCGCTCCGGCGGCGCAACGCGCCGTTAAATAAGATTCCTCTTATATACAACTGCGGCTCGGGATCGCTTGCTACCGGCGGCTGAGCTCGCTGGGGAAAAGACAAGAGAAGCAAAGGCTGGTTTGGATAAATAGTGCTGGCCCGGTGGAGCAGGTCCGAGTTGGGGGGACGAGGAGGAGGAGGAGGGGGGGGGCTACGCCGGGCCCTTAGCTCTGCCCGCTGCGCCCAGGGTCCCGCGGCGGCGGCGGAGGAGCGCTGGAGACGCTGTCGTGCAACTTTCGGACGTGCTTCTTTAAATCAAAGTTTCTGCAAAATCCTTTCCCGCAAGTGACGCACGTAAAGGGCTTCTTGTCGTTGTGGGTGTGCATGTGGAAAGTCAAGTTATAGATCTGGTGGAAGGCTTTGTTGCAAATGGTGCACTTGTACTGCTTCTCTCCGCTGTGGGTCAGCTTGTGGTTCTTGTAGTTGCCTGCGAGAGAGGAAGAAGGTGGGAAAAGGGGGTTACCCGAGGGTACAGAGTGCGCAGGTAAGGCAGGGCAGGAGGGTGTGGGGGGGTGTCTATTAGGAAGTGTCTCCCCCCCCCCCGCACCCCCGTCCGACTTGTCAAACTCGGTCCGTGTCACGGCGGAGCAGCGCGCAACTGGCACGGCACAAATGAGAGGCAGGGTCAGCCCGCTGACCCGCGGCAAATGGAGGGCTCTGGATTAGGACCAAGGCCCGGCACCTCTCATTTAAAAAGCATTTAGGGAGAACCGTCAGCAGTCCCCGGCGATGCGGCCCGGCTTAGAGGGAAAGTAATTGGGAGCGGCGGCGGCGGCTCTGCCCGCGCCCCGCTCGTCCCCCAGCCGGGCAGGGCTCGCCGCGTTTAATCCCCGCTAATGATGGGTGAGGGCCCCGCGGGGGCCCCCGGCCCGGCCCGGCTCGGCTCGGCTCACCTTTCTGGTGGAAGCCCTTGCCGCAGAACTCGCAGACGAAGGGCTTGTAGCCGGCGTGGATGCGGATGTGGGTGTTGAGCGTGGAGCTCCTGTTGAACGCCTTCCCGCACTGGTTGCACTTGTGGGGTTTCTCCTGCACCGGGGGGCGAGAGGCCGGTCAGGGGGGACTGCGGGGAGAGCACGGGGGGGAGAGGGCGGGGAAGCGCCGGGAAGGCGAGGTCAGGCCCCGCACGGCCCCCGGTGTCCCGTCCCCCCCCCTCCCCGCCCCCCCTTTTACTTACCTTGCCGCAGACCTCGCAGGTGAAGTTTTTGGGTTTGCCCTCCGCCGCCCCGCCGCCGCCGCCGCCCCCCAGCTTGGCGTGGCCTTTGGGGGGGCCGCCGCGCTCCGCCGCCGCCGCCTCCTTCATCACCTGGTCCAGGTGTCCCGGCAGCCGTTCCTTGTGGGCGAAAGGCGGCGGCGGCGGCAGCTTCTCGGCCGCCAGCCCCGCCAGCTTGGCGTTCTCCAGCAGGAAAAGCTTCTGGTGGGCCGAGAGCCCCCCCGGCGGCGGGGCGCCCAGCAGGCCGGCGGGGAAGAGCTGTCCGTGCAGGATGTCGGCCGGGTGGTACGCGGCGTCCAGGTAGTTGAAGTAGTAGAGGGAGCGGGGGGCTGCCGGCACGGCCCCCGCTTGATGGATGACCTGCGGCTTGATGAGCCGGCCGCTGGGCTGGCCCAGGGCGAGCTCTGCCTTGCAGCAGACGCCGCAGTTGGCTTTGCAGAGCCCCGCGCCGCCCCGCAGGCTGCTCTTCCACAGCTCCGAGTAGTTGAGGAGAGTCTTGGAGGGCACCTCGTAGCCCAGCGGCGGGATGGGAATCACGCAGGGAAGGGGCGAGCACAGGCTCAGCGGCTTCTTGCCCGGCTCCGGCTCCGGCCCCGGCCCGCCGTGCCTCTGCTCGAAGGCTGGCTTGGGCTCCGACGTCTTGGCCATGATCCTCTCGATGGAGAAGGCCAGGGTCTTGGAGGGGTTAGCGGCGGCGGCCCTGCCGTCGTGCCGGGGGCAGGGAGAAGGCATGACCGTCTCCAGCGACCCCGAGCTCGCCATGTCGCTCCGCCGTGCGGGAACTTGGTGTGAGCAGCGACTCGCTCCCGCTCTCGGCTCTGCATTCCAGAAAAGCCAGGAGACAAATCAATTTAATAAGCACCTTGTTCTCCCCCAGCCTCCCCCCC